AAAGAAGTATTCGTGTGGCATCTGACCTTACACAATATTTTACAGATAAAAGTTTTGACATGCACTTTGAATAGATGATCAGAATTGCCTGGCTAACCCAAAAAGCTCTCTTGCAACAATTCTAATATACAGGTTTCAAAAATGGATTTCCTGGGACACTGCATACTCACTGGTCTAAAAGTTAAGAGGAAGTAAGGACTTTCTACTCCCACCATGCTTCTAGTGCTACAGATACATTAGAAGCAATGATTCATCTGTTTAAAAAGAGATCCCTTCATTTGAAGCCACTATGCATCAACTCTCTACTGCTATAAAGCCATTTCTACTGAAAATAGTGAGCTGGGTCCTGGACATCAGGAGAACTTTAATGTCTTCATCAGTGACTTGGACGAGGGAGTGAAATGTACTCTGTCCAAGTTTGCAGATGACACAAAGCTATGGGGAGAAGTGGACACGCCGGAGGGCAGGGAACAGCTGCAAGCAGATCTGGACAGGTTGGACAAGTGGGCAGAAAACAACAGAATGCAGTTCAACAAGGAGAAATGCAAAGTGCTGCACCTAGGGAGGAAAAATGTCCAGCACACCTACAGCCTAGGGAATGACCTGCTGGGTGGCATGGAAATGGAAAGGGATCTGGGAGTCCTAGTGGACTCCAAGATGAACATGAGTCGGCAGTGTGACGAAGCCATCAAAAAAGCCAATGGCACTTTATTGTGCATCAACAGATGCATGACGAATAGGTCCAAGGAGGTGATACTTCCCCTCTATCGGGCGCTGGTCAGACCGCAGTTGGAGTACTGCGTGCAATTCTGGGCGCCGCACTTCAAGAGGGATGCAGATAACCTGGAGAGGGTCCAGAGAAGGGCCACTCCTATGGTTAAGGGCCTACAGACCAAGCCTTACGAGGAGAGACTAGAGAAACTGGATCTATTCAGCCTCCGCAAGAGAAGGTTGAGAGGCGACCTTGTGGCTGCCTATAAGTTCATCACGGGGGCACAGAAGGGAACTGGTGAGTATTTATTCACCAAGGCGCCCCCGGGGGTTACAAGAAATAATGCCCACAAGCTAGCAGCTTTCCTGCTTATGCAGGGGGTTGGACTCGATGATCTATTGAGGTCCCTTCCGACCCTAACATCTATTAATCTATGAACTAGAAAGTTCAAGTACAACGTTATTCTACATCTCAGTATTTTCAAGGTTATTATGCTTGCAAGATTAAAATTCTGAAGTGTCTCCAAGCTCCGTACAGCAGAGTAAACTTGGGAGTGGGGGAAAGGGGAGGATCTGTATCACTCAAACTATGGAGAAATATTTTTATCATGCTTCTAGCTCACTGGACAGCTTTGGATTAAGTTGACCTACATGCAATGATCATATAAGCACTGGTACACCTTGAGTAAAGAGGCATTTACAGGTGTCAGACAGAAGACCAAGCTCTTAAAGCCAGCATCAGCACAGAAGCATGACAAAGGGTTAAATAGTTTCTGGATTAGTTGCTTTTATTCCAACTCCAGTCCCCCTTCCCAACCCCACCCTAACCCTGGACAGGCTGCTTATTAAGATACCATAAACTCAGTGAAACCAAACAAAATCTGGAATTCAAACCAATTAACGTGCAAGGCTTTTCCGCTCTGTCAGCTCACAAGATAACTGCACCCCATGCTGACAGAGGTTAGAGTCACCAGCTTGCCATCCTCCTTTAAAGTCACTCATACCACAGAGGATTCCCTGCATGTTAGGCTCCAAAAAGAGTCTGGGGGATGAGGATTAATCCTAAACGCCTTCAATTTTTGCAACGCGTAGGGCCCCTTTCATCTGTTCTCAGTGCAGATTCTTCCCATACCACCAACTGCTGCACCAAGCCTCCCCCATAGGCTAAGCAAAATGGAGAAAGCAGAAGAGGAATGTTGCTTTCCCTTGCCCTGGAAGATGGCTGTGGCCTGACACATTACAACAGCTTTCTATCCTCCTGCTCCCAGAAGTGCAGCCATAAAGCTACCCCAACGCTTTAGGGTTCCTGCCATTTGGTATGGTGAATTAGATACCTGCTTTAGAGCAACTCTGCCACTTTGCAAAAGACAAAGCCCACACCGAGATCCCCCTGCAAAACCTTCTCAAACAGTATGATCACAGCAGCCTAACTGAACTGCCAACTGGGAATGATCTCATAGTCCAGCAAGTGCTCAAATGAAACTGGACAACTAGCCATTCCAGCCCGAGCAAGCGAACCTGTGGCAAATCAACCAGACAGGCAAAGCTGCTATTCACTGCATAGTTCAGTTCTCATCAGCCCATGAAACAAATGAGCAGTCTTAACCAGACAACCACAACATGTGTGGGAGGGTAAACACACTTCAGTGCAAAAGGAAACAACCACCATCCTCCCCCTACCCTCGAATGCAGGGGCGTGCAATTATTTTGGGTGGAAGGCTGCTTACTGTGTTTTGCCAAGCCATTGAGGGCCGCATGACAGGCAGCCAGGGGCAGATTAATATTCATTTTCTAAATTTTTTAGGAGCCCCATGGGCCAGACAGAATGGCCTGGTGGGCCGCATCTGGCCGGCAGGCTGCATTTTGCCCAGCCCTGCACTACACAGTACTTGTAGGGCAATTAATAGAAATAGATTGCACACGTGCTGCATTACTTACAACTGCAGGAAAGACGTACACAGTGCAACCATTGATGAAAAAGAACCCACACCATTTTGGAAGCAGTTTCTGCAGAGCAGCAGGTGGTAAGCTGAAGAGTCACTTGTGGCTCAGAAGCCATGCTCAGAGTATGTCAGGTGTAGGTGATGTTTTGAGAGAGCAGGGTAAAGGTTAAGAACAGTTTGAAGGGGGATAGGATTGTAGTCAATCCTCTTTATTCTTCCACCTGCTACCTCTTCCCATACTGCAGGGAATAAAATACACAAAGAGTTCAAAAGAAATTAAGTGCTGGGAAAACAGAGACTGGACTTCCATCCTTCAGTTTTGTGAAGAGGAAAAAAAAAAAATGGAACTGGGATTTCTGGGTTTTTTAAAATCATGTACAGTGTTATAGAAAAGGACTGTGTAAAAAGCCAAAGGAGATGGATCAGTGATCAGTTAAGTAGTTCTGAACTACCTCAACATACAAGGGAAGTTCACCGATCACTCTTAAGCCATTTAAAACTACCAACATCCTGTTAGTGTCCTCAGCACCAGCTAGTATATCTGGCAATGACACCATACGGGATGCTTGCTGGAGATACTTCAAGTGGCTTGAGTGGTAGTCCTAAACAAAGGAAGCCTCTTGTTTTCCAGAATCCCGTGAAAATAGCACCAGAGGAATTGCCTAAGCTGCTGCACAGAAGAGATGTTTCTTCCCACAAACCAGCAGCTCTGCTAGGAAGAAGTTGGTAACAGTGGTTTGTTTAAAGAAAAATACACATTCCTGCTCTGGCTGACAAGGGGTAGACGGGAAAGAAGGAAGCAATAGAGGAAGTGAATTGGAGATAAGAAGTTTATGAGCAACTGTACTGCTGTGTATTGTGCAGAAGGTACATCTGCCCTGCTCACTTGAGCAGACACCGAGATCCCTTTGTTTAAAGAGGAAATGAGGTTCCAGAGAGGGCAAGTTCTCAGGGAGTTGCTCAGAATGAAGCAAAGCATCTTCACAGAGCAACATGTAGGTAACCTGTCAGGTATTTCTCAGTAAGAAAGTATGCCTTTAAACAAGTTACCTCTCTACTCCTGGAAGTCTTTGCCATCCTGCCTGCATCCCTCTGGGACCTGGCCAAATCTCCAAAAAGCAATTTTCCACTTCACCTTCCTTTATCCACCACATTAAGTGTCCTGCAGAGCTATATCCTAAGCAGCCTTCATCAGCATTCCTCTTCCTGCCTATGGGAACTGCTCAGGTTCACTGATCTAGGTCCCTGGGAAGCAGTGATCTTTCTGTTCCTTTGTAATCCCTATTATAGTCTAATAAACTAAGACGTTTGAATGGTTCAGGAGTTAAGGGAGACTGGAAGGTCATTGGCCAAAATCATCTAGTCTGAAAAAGATTTACTAGAAACTGAATTTCCTCTGGTCATTCTTCAAAAGAGGTCATATACAAGAGGTGTGGAAAGAGGGTGAAGTTACCAAGACTGTGGTTTTTTTAATGCTAATTGTTGAGCTATTTCCATGAAGATGGAAGTGTTTCAGCTTCAATCCTCCACCTAGTTGTGCTCCAATCTGTTACTATTTCAGATGGTCATACTCAGTCTCCTTTAGGACTGCTACCAAGAGTGCCTACTTCTGCACACACATCCTACATACTGAAACAGGAAGAGAAAGTACAGGCACCTATACACACAGGCATTTTACAGGTGTCCCAACCAAAGGCTTCCATTCTTTAAACAGATGACTGCAGGGATCCATACAAGGGGTCCAAAACAACACCAAGGTATGCATTAACTGAGGAGCTGTACTTCCTTTTGCTTTAGTGCCAGAAAAATCATATTCAGTTTTTTATGCCTGATAAATATATCCAGCGAACTAGCCAAAAAAAAGTTTGACTTTTTAATCTATGAAAATATGATATACATAATAGGCTGCATTAACTAGCAAATCAATCATTTTTAACCCTCAGCGAGGGAAAAACTGCTCAACAGTTCTCAATAAAACCTCAGGTTATAATAACCTGTGTCAAGCTCTCAGAGGCTTAAAGTCTATTATGGCTGGTCACAAAAAACAAGGCTCATTTTTCTCTGACTGGGTTTCAATGACTTACTATTAATAGTTTCTCCCCCCCCCCCCACACCTCACGCTCTCTCTTTCTCTTAAAAGTTTCCCCCCCCCCCCCCAAACCTCCCGTCTCTCCTGACCCTACATACTTCCCCTTCCAAATGGGTGATGATCAGGAAGTTGCATTGGGATAGTGATTCCTTCTCACAAAACTGAAATAATTTTGCCTTTTTCTGTGGAGCATCTTGAACATCACAGACTTCACAACCTAATTAAAAAAAACCCTTGCCCCAGCAGCCAGCACTCACCTTGCATCATACTCCTGTAGGCAGTGTCTGTGATAGCATAGATATGAGGGGGCATCTCATGCCGCTTTTTGCCTTTGTACATATCCACAATCTCTTCTGAGTATATAGGCAGGTTCTTGTAGGGATTTATAACCACACAAAACAGGCCTGAGTAGGTCTGCAAGAGAGACAAATCAGAACAACAGTTAGCGTTCTAGAGATATGAGGTTTCATGTCTGAAGCCAGTCAGGCTTCTAGGGGCTGTTTTGGGACAGCAAGAGACCAAGAAAAAGAAAAACCCCCAAAATCAACAACAACAACAAGCACAAGCCAAATACTTGAAGTTTGGCAATAATGGCCAAAAGCAAGTTTGCCAGGATGGTGCAAGACCTCTGTCCAAGACACCCTAAGTATTCAGTGCTATCTACGTGACTAATTTATTACTAACTTATTCCATAGACCCTGCAGTTAGCCAGAGAAATCCAACTCCCCTGCATTCACAGAGATCTGAAGTTTAAACAAAGTCTACATTTCACTGCAGAAAACAGATGCTCACCCCCCAGAAGCTTGGCAGCATCTGTTTTACTGTGTGATAGCTCGTGTAAAGCCTACTTACTACAAATTTGTCCAGAGTATAATTGAGACTCCAGTGAGAAGTTATATGAGGGAACAAGTGGATATTTCCATTTCTAGAAATACAATGAGCTAATGCAGGGGAAAGCAGCAACGTGTTACATGAAAAGCACTATGAGGTCTGCATTTCTTCTTAACCAACTGCAAGCCACTTCGTCCATGCACAAGGTCCAGCTGCCCAAATGAATCAGTTCTTAAGTGGAACCATTTCCACTAAGTGAAAAGAGTGTGTTGTACCACCAGAAACCCATGTCTGGTAGACATGCCCCTGTGGCTTTAAGATATTCCAAAGTTGTTCATTCCCTGTGGTGTTACCTGTAGGAGAGTCACCAATACTTATTTGCAGTCAGCTATTTTCCTCCTCTAATTTTGCTTTAAGTTGACACGCTGTACTCTTCAGATGGGAAAGAGAAGGTGGGTCTCTCCTGAATCTACAGAAGAGACATCTATTAAGCCAAGCATGTGTGCCACAAATGGCACAGGCAGCCTATGTGGCATATGGCAAACTGGGGAGGGAACAGGCAGCATAGAGCAGGTGGGATAGGAAGCAGAAAACAGAGCAGCAGACTAGACACGTGAAGAGGATCGGAGTGGCACTCAGGGAGGATACAGGGCAAATTTGTGGCATGCCTGTCAAAAAGGCTGGTACCCACTGTACAAAGCCATCATTTAGTTACTTCTCTCTTCTTATCCCTTCACTCAGGACAAGTCCCTGAGCCAGAGAGTCAGCTGAAGTCAGCTTGTATAAGGAAACTGAGTTGCTAATGTACTTCATTTCACATGCAAAAAAAATGTCTGGCTGGAACTGCATTCAAAGCTAAGAAGTCACCAATCCAACTCGGATTTGAACTAATCATATACAAAAGCTTTAGATTCCATGTGGGGGGTTTTGTCCCCCACCTTCCCCACCCTCAAGGATCATGACATGCTTTCCCTATTTTTTTGCCTCATGTAAAAGAATCATCAATCCACAGCCATGGTGCCAACCTCAAAACTTGTGAATTTGGCTTCCTTGGCTTTTTAACTCTGCAGACTTCTGCAACATTGACAGCTGTCAAGATGCTTTTGCTGCAAACACGAGACAGAGGCAAAGGAAATATGTTCCACTGTTGCCAGTATCCAGGTCTCAAGAGACATCTTTAATTTGGAAAGGGGATTTTTGAGTCACAAGGAAAACTATTTTTGGAAGTTCTAAAAATCCAAGCTTTACTCCCAGGGCTCACAGCTACCCATAACCCCTGTTAAGGTGACAGCCCACATAAAGAGTTTCTTGCAGAGAGAGGGCTGTTTTACTCCAGATGTTTCAAACATCTGCCAGTAAAATCTGCAGTCTGCTGTACTACTCAAGTGGAGTACATCTGGCACTTTACACTGTCACCTCTTCCCTGAGCTGCTCAAGGAAAAATGTTTTGTAGTACTAAAGAGTTTTCCCTCCTGAGCACAGGTTGCATCTTAACACATTTAACATCTCTGGCCAAATAAAAGGCAAAGATAAGACCCCTGGTGATGAGAATGGTGGAAACAGTATTGTTCCATTGTTTATAGTCCTACCTCGAGTTCTTTAAGCATTGCTTTCCCTTTGAAAGAACTAGCCCATCTACGTGTGTGACAGTCA